CTCCAAGTTTGATCTCACCAAGTCCTTTGGACCTTAGTTTCAACTGGAAGGTGAAGGGTCCTGCCCCAACTGTTGAGGGTCTCAAACTGAGGGTTTTCAAACTCCTGTGACCATAGTTGCGGCCTCCACTCTTCCAGCCCTCACCCCATCTCTCCAGGCTTGGTAGCCCAAGCACCCGGTACCTGTGACGCCGAGACCTGGGAAGACACAGAAGTGAGCAGCGCGCAGCCCCAGCACAGGCGACTGGAGGCACATCGGGTGGAGACCCACGCCTAGATAGGCGGGCAGACAGGTGGCCCGGCACGCCCAGGGCAGAACGGGGCCCAGGGTCCAAGAGGGAGCGGTCCAGAGACCCTGGGCAGCATAGGCGGCGACTGACAATCCTGAGGCAGCTGGTGCACGGGGGTAGGGCCTAGCCAGGATGGCCTCGACAGAAAAGGAGGACTCCAGGCGACCAGGACCGCTCGGGGCGCTCTCGGCATCTGCACTCGCCGGCGAGCATGGGGCGGTGGGCGCGGGAGAGCAGTCTGAGCGCTGGGGCTGGACTGACGAGCCTGAGGGAGCGGGCAGCGAGAGTTGAAGCTGCCCCCGGGTGGGCATGGCACAACCTTCACCCAGACGGGTGCAGGGAGGAGAGAAGCCAGTGAGAAAACCTTCCAAAAAGAAGATTGAATCTCTGGCCAAAAAAGACCCTAGTCGTCCGCTCCTGCTCTTAAAATTGGGGAGAAATGGGGGCGGGACAGGAAGGGCGGGGCAGGCCCCTTTCTCCCTAGACCCAACCGGGACCGGATGCGCTGTGTTAGAGTTCTAGCCACTCGGACACCAGTGCGGTTTGCTACGCCCGGGGATGCACCCTACGCTGGGCAAGTAAAAATGAGTACAGCACCCAGGACTGTACTTTGTCCCTCCACATTTAAAAATGCCTACCTTGGTGCGGTCGGCGAAAGGACCCTGAGCTCGCTGTGGCTCGCTGGCAAATCCTGGGACTAGGCCCCCTCATAACTAGAGCAATGTTGCCCCTTTCGTCAGGGCTTAGCCAGGATGGAGTTGTGAACTGGGATCTATCTGCTAATTCACGCCTCCTCAGAAGTAGAAGCCCCCAGGCACAGTAAAAAGTAAATTTCCAAAAAAAAAGAAATGTAAATTTCCCACACTGTCCCTAGCTGCCCAGTCTCCCTGAAGACATCGTTGTGGTTACCAGTTTTTTGTTTGTTTTTTTCCTGCCTGGGACTTTTTTTTTTTTTTTTTTCCCCTTCCCATACTACAGAATTCCCATAACACTGGGTGAAAGGGAAACAATTTATAGGAAGGGTTTTAAATATACAATCTGTGTTATTGTTAGGTGGCATCGAGTCAATTTCGACTCATAGCGACTCTATGCACAACAGAACAAGACCCTGCTGAATCCTGAGCCATCCTCACAATTAGTTGAGCCGCCCATTGCTGCTGCCACTGTGCTAATCCATTACACTGGGGTCTTTCTCTTTTTCGCTGACCCTCCACTTTACCAAGCATGGTGTACTTCTCTGGGGATTGGTCCCTCCTGATAATATATCCGAAGTATGAGAGATGAAGTCTCGCCATCCTGGCTTCTAAGGAGCATTCTGGCTGTACGTCTTCTGACACAGATTTGTTTGTTCTTCTGGCAGTCTAGGTTCTTTTGATTTCTTCTCCAACTCAATATCTCAGTTCTTCTATGGTTTTTCTTATTCATTGTCCAACTTTCACATATATATGAGGTTGCTGAAAATACCATGGCTTGGGTCAGGCACACCTTCATCCTCAAAAAGACATCTTTGCTCTTGAACACTTTAAAGGGCCTTTTGCAACATAAGGTTGTTTTATTTCCTGACTTCTGCTACCATGAGTGTTGATAGTGGATCCAAGCAAAATGAAGTCTTTGACAACTTCAATCTTTTCTCTATTTATCAAGATGTTATTTTTTGGTTCAGTGGTGGGGATTTTTGTTTTCTTTACATTGAATTGTAACCCATACTGAAGGTTGTGGTCTTTAATCTTCATCAAGTGAGTCTTCTTCGCTTTCAGCAAGAAAATTGTATTAACTGCATATTGCATTTGTTAATGAATCTTCCTTCCTCCAATCCTGATGCCACATTCTTCTTCACAGAATCCAGTTTCTTGGATTATTTGCTCTGCATAGAGATTAAATAAATACGATGAAAAAACACAATGCTGGCATACAATTTTCCTGATTTTAAACTATTCAGTGTCCACTTGTTCTTTTCAAACAACTGCCTATTAGTCTATGTACAGATTTTGCATGAGCACAATTAACTATCGACCTTGTGATTCAAATAAACATTGAAATCAAGTATTTTATCCCACAGAGCCAGACCAAACCCTTCAATACTGCAAGTTAAGGCTTGAACTTTTTCTTCAGTTCTTTCAGCTTGAAAAATGCTGAGCATATTCTTCCCTTTTGGTTTTCTAACTTCAGGTCTTTGTGCATCTTATTATAATACTTGACTTGGTCATCTTGAGTTGCCTTTTTAAATCTTCTGTTCAGCTCTTTGACCTCCTCATTTCTTCCATTTGGTTTAGCATCTCTATGCTGGAGAGCAAGTTTGAGAGTCTCTTCTGACATCCATTTTGGTCTTTTCCTTCCTTATTGTCTTCTTAATGACCTTTTGCTTTCTTCTTATATGATGTTCTCGATGTCATCTTCGGTCTTTAGTGTCTAATGCATCAAATCTGTTTTTAAGATGATCTCTTAATTCAGGTGGGATGTGTTCAAGGTCATATTTTGGCACTTTGGGACTTATTTTAATTTTCTTCAGCTTCAACCTGAAATTGTTTATGAGCAATTGATGGTCTGTTCCACAGTCTGCCCCTGTTCTTCTTTGGCTGATGATATGGATCTTGATATATGGTTGGTGCATAAATTTGAATAATAGTGGTATTAACTGGGCTTCCTTTTAAGTATATGGATATTATCCTATCACAGACAGCATTATACTTTAAGATAGATCTTGAAATGTTCTTTTTGATGTTGAATGTGATGCTATTTGTCTTCAATTTGCCATTTCTGGCATAGTAAACCAGATTCAAAATGGCCAACACTCGTCCATTTCAGCTCACTAATGCCTAGGATACTGACCTTTATGAGTTCCATTTCATTTTGGACAACTTCCAGTTTTCCTAGATTCATACTTCATATCATACTTGTTTACTAATGGATGTTTCTAGCTGTTTCTCCTCATTTTGAATTGTGCTCCATCAGCATTTAAGTCATAACAGTCAACTTTACTTTGAGGAGGCAG